CTGCAAAGCAGCTTTCTGAACAAGAAAAAAACAAGCGACACTGGAACATCAAGTGACATTTACAAAATTCAGTCACTAGAGCAGATAAATGCGATTTAAAAGAGTTTCTATCGGTTTTACAATCATATCGCGAAATACACTGTGGCTTTCAATGACTTTCGTGATGAAGACTTTCACGATGTTACGAAATGAGGCAGTTGTACTAACACAATCAGTTTTCTCCAGGTTAATCAATAAAATACAAAAACTTTTCTAATCGACTGTTTTCTTCATGCATGGCTAAGAAAGAGAGATGGGAAGGTTTATACTTCGGTCGACGCATTTCGCTAGCAATATTGGTAACATCATGAGGACTGAGTAAATGGAAAACTAAAATCTATATTTTAGCAGTATAACAGGCATTAACAACTCATAAACATGAGTGAAATTTCTGTGCCATATTCCATTCACAACGGACTGCCGACTGCACCAAAGGTTTGATTTATATCGAAATATGAAGAATTCAAAATTCGATAACACCTTTAAAGGACGATTATGCATACGGAATTTGCCATATACAAATTCTCCAACGTTCGTTCCGACTCATGCCTTATCCGCCTTCAGACGGAGACATATTATAAAACATGATGAAGAATATATACATTCAATGCGCGTTTATTTTAGAGTCAAAATATAAACGGACTTTTGGATTAACAGCTGGAATCCGGCCTTGTTCCTGACAATTGCCGGATCACGTAAAACTAAGGCCACGCCATTCACTAATCACATCGAGGGCAATGCCTGAGTATTCAGCATGACAGCTATGGCTTACGGACAGATGATCATTCCCTCTGATATTAAGCTGTCTGTAGGTGTCTTACCTATGTAAATTTTGTCGCAATTACCATTATTTTCCTTATGAACTACACTGAGGAATTTTTTCAGTTGCTAAGACAGCTACTTAGGAGCTACTTAAAAAAAAGCATTGCCAGTGTCTTCCCATTTTTGTAGTAGACCCAAAATCTCATTTTCAAGAACACTTTTTTGACTTGTTCTGAAACTTAGGGAGAAAATGTCATGGCAGCGTTACGAATGTTTTCTTATAGTTTTTTAACGTCAAATTGTGGTGCAGTACCCTTCCTTAACAACGTCGACAAGTAAAAAGTAAAAAGAAGAGTCTTGTGAAGATGGTCAATTTCCTCTTTCATGCTTTTTTCACTGCTGCATTTAGTCACCGCGCGATGACGCATATGCATATGCTTCACTATGTTCCTTAATGACGCAGGAGTGCAAGAATTTGGACAAAGATACATGCTCGAGTGAGCAGACTGAAAATTCTAACTTATAAAAGTTCTTTCTGCCGCTACTGTTTAAAAGCACAGTCGGGAACGGAGTGGTTTGTTATGGTAAACTTCTGTTATGAACTTTTGCGTTGTTTCTGGCTCTTTCATAATTCCTGCTAGAGCAACGATTAAGCAAAATTTATTTATAACTGTAGTGACAGAGAGCATCAACTTTTCAGCCGTTCCAGCACTTGGGAAAGAAACATTTATACAAGCGAACAAACGTAAAGAAAAACAAACGTTACTTTACAACGTAACTTACCACTAAATTCATGACGATTCTTCAGAATCCAAATCAAGTGTGGCAGTACTGAGCTTTAGAAAGCCTCATTATTATGAGCGTACATTGAATTCAAATATGTACGCACGGCCATCACCTTTGAATTGCAACTGGCAATCACGTCGTGGAGGTGGTGATATGTGTCCACGAAGGTCTGAGTGGCAGTGCAAATGTCAATGGCCACCACCGAAACGATCCGTAGATATGGTAGGCAACCTGCCTTAGCAGAAAGCCTCAAGCAGCGTTCTAAGGTCCTGA